TTTGTTTTGAGTGTGGGGTAAGAGGGAAAGAGAAAAATAAAGTTTTGGTTTGGGGCCTGAGCAACATTTACTGAGATGAAGAAAACTAGGGAAGGAGGAGGGTGTGTGGGAGCCTGGGCAAGGGGTTCTGCTCAGAACGTGCTGATTTTGCGACGCCCGTTAGACGTCTGTGTGAAGACTGAGGTGGCTGCTGCAGTTCAGAGGACAGGGTGAGGCTAGAGATGCAAATCTGGAAGACCTGGGACTAGAGTAGATCGTACAGGCCAAGACACTAGATAGAAAAGTAAACGAGAACCTGGGATAAAGAAAACAATCACGAAAACAGCCAGCAAAGCACACTGGGAAAGTGGTCAGTGCCACAGGAGGGAAACGAAGAAGAGAGTGGGCTACATGGGAGAGAGGCCTGTGCTGTCACACTGGATCTAGTGCTCAAAAGAGCTCCATTCGTGGTTTAAATTAATGCTATTGTATATTTCAGCGCTTTGAGTGATACTTTTTCCCTTGCTTTTTGAACAAAAGATCCTACGTTTTTCACTGTACTCCATGAATTGTATAGCACCATCTTGACAAGACTGTTGGTGTCATAAAAGCCTAAAGAAAGTATTTAAAACTGAACACAAGCCAGCAATTAGAAGCACTCCTTTTTACAGCAATATCAAATTGCATTTTAAATTATTTTTACTCATAAGTTTCTGAGCAACTTTGTGAAAGAATTGTGCCCAATATGGGGGACACAGAGGTGAATGAACTACAACCAGTGGGTGCCTTCACAAAATATAGAAAAAGCAGTCACGGAACCATTAGGCAAGAGTTTTGGCCATTGTGAAGGGGAAGTGGAGGGTGCTAAGGGTGTGTGTACCACAGGGCCCTTCTGTGGGGAAATAACATAAGGTAGATCTGGGATGAACTGCTCTGAGAGCCATGAGTCTTCCAGCAGCGGACAACACCTTGTGTGAACCTAAGGTGGAAAAGACTTATTTATGGGACTGAAACAAAATCAGTGTGGCTGCAGAAAAAGAGCAAATTTACTCAAAAAAAAAAAAAAAAAATCTCTGTGCTGAGTGTGCTGAGAGAGTATAGAATGAGGGAAGAGGGGAGATGAGGATGAAGTCTTAACTTCTCCAAGGTTTAAAGGTGGGGTAGGAGGTGAGGGAGTAGCTAGGGAGGTGATAGGTAGAGCACATCAGTGGGGCTTGCTGCTCTTTGCAGGCTGCCTCTTCCTTGATTTGGCAATCGGGGATGGTGCCCTTCTTTGGCAAAAGACAGCCCACCTCCCCACTCTGTGATCTAAATGGGGCGTTCCCCAGAAACCTTTCTTTATACCCAGGAATACCTGCAGGGGACTCCAGCCTGGACAAACAATGAAGTGGCAGAGGCCTCTATTCTCAAGAGAGCCTGTCTTTATGGGGGCTGTTAATCCTCAGGTTTGATCCTTGTACTTGAACATTTACTTTCCAGTTGTTTTTGTTTTATTTAAAAAATTTCTTAATT